CTCCTCATCCTCCTCATGCGAATTCGTTTTAAGTTTCTTTGAAGGCGGACATTCGGGGTCAGGTTCTGGTGCTGGCTCGGGTTCGGGTTCAGGTTCTGGTGCTGCCTCGAGCTCAAGGTCTGGCCCGGGTTCAGGTTCTGGTGCTGCCTCGAGCTCAAGGTCTGGCCCGGGTTCAGGTTCTGGTGCTGGCACCTGCGGAGCAGTTTCAAACCCTGTGCCCTTTCGCCGCTTCTCGTAGTGCTGGTCTATTATTCTTCTCGCCTTGGCTTCGCATCCCTTTACCCAGCCGTGCGGAAAGTTCCGCTTAGTAACCCGGATTTCCGGATGAGCAGTGAGGAAGTCGCGGAGCTCTTGTTTACCCCATTCATTGTACCCTACTGGCGGAGACAACTCGGAATGTCGAGGATGACTTGGTTCCATTATACTACTATCGCCCTCGCTTCCAATATAGAATCCCGCTCGGACAAAAAAGTCGGGGTCACCGAACAAAAGATCGTGACGCCTACTTTCATGGACTCGGGAAGCGTGGATTGCTGCCCACAGATGGAGCCACCTTTCAAAAACAAGGGATGTGGGAAATCGAAAAATCCTCAATGTATTACGCTATGAAAAGAATTATTGATTTGTAAATACACTATATATGCGACTCCTCGAACTATTTTCAGGCACTCACAGCGTTGGGAAAGTGGCAAAAGAAATGGGCTGGGAGGTGACCTCTTTGGACCTGCGGAACGCTGACATCAACTGCGATATTATGAATTGGGACTATTCCCACATTCCCGCAGGATACTACGACGCTATTTGGAGTTCGCCCCCTTGCGAGAAATTCTCTCATCTCCGCCGTTTTGGATTGGACGCAAGTTGAAAGCCTTTGGAGACGTGCCCGTGACTCCCGAGATGCTCAACGAGGATATGGTGGCAAAAGGTCTACCAATTACCGCCCCGAATCGCCCGTATTTTAAATCCCCCCCCATTAGCCCCATCCCCAATAGCCCCGAATATCCCAGTGTAGGTTCAACAGCAACGCAAATCGGCACCGTGAAGCACACGTCAACATGAAGTATCCCATTTTGTTGAAGTCAAGGTGAAGGCAAGTTGAGGTGGTATATCATATGATATCCGCCCCATAACCCCCGCCGATTTACCCCCGCACGGGGGTTAAACAAGGCGGGGGTTATGGGGCGGATATCATAATATGGGGCGGATTCCATATGGGCGGGGTGAAGCGCCCTGCCTTACGCGCGCGGCGCGCCTGTTTTGTTGCGCTGCCGCTCATCACACAACCTTGACTCGCTTCGCCTGGCTTCATGGGGCCGCGGGCGGCGCGACGGGCTTGTACATGAGCGTCGCGTCGCCGACGGCGTGCTTGAGGCCCGCGGAGAAGGACGGGTCGACGTTCTGCTTGGCCTTCATGGCGGCGCTCATGACGGCGTGGTGGGCGAGCAGCGCGTCCGTGTAGTCCTCCTTGGTCTTGAAGGGCGAGCCGGGCGTGCCGAAGGGCTTGCAGCGCTGGCAGAGGCAGTAGTTCGAGATGAGGTCGATGATCTTCGCGCAGTGCTCCTCCTTGGTGTTGATCCAGCGCGTGATCTGGTTCAGGACGAGCGGGCCCTCGGACATCTTGCCGTAGAGCTCCTGGATCTGCGCCATGGCCTTCTCGATCGTCGCGCACGCCTCGAGGAGCTCCGC